AAAGTCTTCCATAACCTCGGAAATGACCATGGCTGCATGTGGCCTGGGCCAGAGCCTGTCCCTTTAGACTCCTGAGCTCTTGTCCCATGGCCTACAATCTGCCCCATTACTGTGACACAGTCAGCAACACTAGCTGGACTAGAACATCATTTCTGGGAAATCAAAGGAACCAAGAAACATAGGAAATCCCCCCCCCCATTCAGGACTTTTATAAATATCACATGAGTTAATAAGGTAAGTGTCTAACATAGATAAGCAACCTAATTTGTAATTTTTTGTATGGGGTCAGTCTTCTTTGATCTGCAGTTCATAGACCCCAGGGTGTGGAGGATGGATAGTTTTAGGAAATGGCTGTAGGCCAAAACTACTGACACAGTTACAAGATAGAGAGGGACCCATTCAGGAACAAATCAATAGCCCCAGACTCAGAACCACAGCTGGAGTCCAGACATGAATGTTGTAAGGTAGAGATGATGTCAGGAAGAGTGACATCAGAAAATGCTGTAAACCTTGATGTTCACTGTAGTTGGAGTTTCAGAGGTCAAGTGGTAGGGGATAGGCATAATTCCTGACTCTAATTTATTCCAGGTAGACCCTCCTCCCTGGAAAACTGGTGTGCATGTGCACATACATATAGATTATGTACATATACATACATATATATACATTACACATACATATACATTAACTACATACATATACATTAACTACATACATATACATTAACTATATACATATACATTAACACACATACATATTCGTTAACTAATGTAAGTGCTTGTTTGTTGTTTTTTAAATTTATTTAAATTCAATTAGCCAAAGTATAGTACATCATAGGTTTTTGATAAAATGTTCAATGATTCATCTGTTCAGTATAACACCCAGTGTGTAAGTGTTATGTCAGAAAGACAAGGGGCACCTGGGTGGCTCAGTGGGTTAAAGCCTCTGGCTTCGGCTCAGGTCATGATCCCATGCTTGTGATCTCTGTCTGTCAAATAAATTTAAAAAATCTTAAAAAAAAAGACAAATGGTTTTCCAGAATTTTTTCCTACTCCATCAATTTTGTAGCCAATAACACATATTTCATTTACATTTAACGAAAAGGACAAGAGGTTAGTTTTTTTCTTTTTTTTTTAAATATGTTCAGTTAGTCAACACATAGTACTTCATAAGTTTTTTTTTAAGATTTTATTTATTTATTTGACAGACAAAGATCACAAGCAGGCAGAGATGCAGGCAGAGAGAGATGGGGAAGCAGTCTCCCCGCTGAGCAGAGAGCCCCATGCGGGGCTCGATCCCAGGACCTTCAAATCATGACCTGAGCAGAAGGCAGAGGCTTTAACCCACTGAGCCACCCAGGTGTCCCAGTACTTCATAAGTTTTTGATGTGAGATTAATTTCTTTAGCCTATGTGTGGATTACTCAGGATAACAAAATGACCAGCTATGCTAGAACATTATTGTTTCAAAAAACAAAAGTTTCAGTTATCAGATAGTGCATCATTTTATCTTCATAAATTTCAAACAAGAAGAGTATTCTACATTCAATTTCATCATTCCAAATATGACTCCCCGAGTTTGACAGAAATTAGGAGTGCAATGAGATTTCTTGCTCTCCTTAATGCTTCCTTGTCTAGTGTTTGATATTAAATAAGATATTAATATTGTCTAACAGCTTCTGTGAGCATCGTAAACTCAAAATATCTTTGTCATAATGGTTGATCTTTCATAGTGTCTTACAGAAGATATTTGGCATTGTGTATATATCAATCCCTTTGAGGAAACTTATAAAATTGATCATGGTTAATAATCAATACATTATAAATATAGAATAAGTACATTATAAAATGTCAGTGAGGTTAACTTTGTAAAACAGAGGCATAAAACAAGAAAAATAAAATAAAAAATAAACAGTGAAAAAATAACATATAAAATCAATATTACATAAAGAACCCTTTTACTCTGTTTTTGTCAGAAGGCATAAGACACTAATGGGGCAGTGGGCAGGACACCCTTCAGGAACCTAGAGCAGAAGGGAACAGCCTCCCATACAAAGAATGCATGGATGGGAGTTACAGAGGGTGTGGGGGTGTCCCACATCATGGTTTCTGTTCTTCTCTCTTACTATTAATGACTGGTTGTGTTCTCAACCAGCTCCCCCTGCACTCCAACTACAGGGAGCTCCAGAGAGAGAAGGAAGCATTCCCCAAACAGATGCTCAGTAGGGAGGAAGGAGCACTCATTTGTTCCTCTTAAGAAATTCTCTCTACAAGATTTGGGTATTACCTGGGTGAGAAAAGAACCATAACTTGGGACTAAGGTAATATTTGTCCAGACTTGTCCAGACTGTCAAACACTGTTGCTTTATAAAGTCACCTGCAGGGCAGTACATCCAAATGCTCATGTCTCAGAAAGGCAGCAAAATGTCCATTTCTTCAAGTAGAATTCCAGCATATAGATATATTAAAACTCGACAACTAATCCCAACATGGGCCAAAGTGAAATGCAAGCTGCATGTCTTGCACAGTGGGGCATACGGGGTGTTCATGGGACTATTTTTTTTAATTAAGATTTTATTTATGTATTTGACAGAAATCACAAGTAGACAGAGAGGCAGGAAGAGAGAGAGGAGGAAGCAGGCTCCCTGCTGAGCAGAGAGCCGGATGCGGGGCTTGATCCCAGGACCCTGAGATCATGACCTGAGCGGAAGGCAGAGGCTCAAACCACAGAGCCACCCAGGTGTCCCGGGACTATTTTTAATATGGATGTATTCAGGCACAGGAGCCGGTTATGCCTGAGATTCTGAATGTCTAAGAATGGCTAGATCCTATCATTCTCCTCTCAGATAATAAATCTGTAAGGAAAAAAATAAATACTTAAGGGACTTCAATGCTGAGAAATAAAACCCATGCACATGATGTCATATATGCAAAAATTTTATTAAATAAAAAACTTAAAAAAAATAAATAAATTTTAACTTATTAAATAAAATTTTTATTAAATAAACATTAAAAAAGGATACACCGCCTTTCAATTGCATTAATAACAATCCTACTATCCCTGCCACCAAAATGACTCCAGGATGACTCCACGAGAGGGCGGCCTGCTGGTAATCCCAAAACCCATACCACTGTGTCGAATATTTAACTGTTTCTTAGTCCATATATCTGGACTAGACTGGATTGACATTTGGGAAGATGGGTTTTGTTTGGTTGGTTGACACAAGGGAAGCAGAAAGTCAACAGAGGCTATTAGAGAGAAGAGAACAGCCCTCAGCCGGACTTATTCAACTGAGCTTTTGCACTGGTATGGCTGGGCCCCTTGAAGGAATCCCATCCACTGCCAATGGCATCATCGTCCAGCCAGAGAACTCGGCATCCATGCCCCTGGGTCCAAGCTGTCTACCTCCTCACCCCTATGCCCTGGACTGGCAGAGCCAAGAGCATATAGTCTACCTCCGTAGTTCCAGTCCCAGAGCTCCATCTGTCACAGGACATATTCTTTGACGCCTGTGATCTCCACAGGATTCCAGAAAGTAGGAAATGATTTGGTTTGTTCCTGTACTCCTTGAATTGCCAGAAATCAAGAGCCATGATGCTATGTTTTCGTCAGAGTCCATGAGACAGGGCATGAGATAGGAGCCTCAGGCTGAAGGAACCAGACTCTGGCCCGGGTTACACAAAGACTGCATCACACGCATAACAGGTATGAAGGGTTTGGGGTGTCCCACACTATGTCTACTAGATTTCCCTCTGAGGTTCAATGACCTTGTGTGCTCAACCAGTAGTTCCCCTGCATCCCAACTGCAGAGATCTGCAGAGAGAGGGGGGAGCATTCCCCAAACAGGTGCTCTGTAGGGAGGCAGGAGCACTCAGTGGCTCTTCCCAAGAAAGAAATCTCTCTACAGACCTGTGGGTTAGTTCCCTTGTTCCTCATCAGAGATTCTCCTGAGGGAGAGAGGAACCAGAGCCTGGGACTGGTGATATTTTGACCACCACCTCCCGGGTTGTCAAATGTTGCTGCCTAGGGAAATCATCTGGAGGGCAGTAAATCCCAATGTCCAGACCTCAGAAAGGCAGCAAAAGTATCCATTAGTGCGAGGGGGATTCCAGAATATGAATACAGGAAAACTGACCACCTGATCCCATGAGACACTAAAGTGGGACTGAGGCCTCATGCAGTGCATGTGGCACATACACAGGGAGCAGGGGGAACTATGTGGTCTAGGTATCGATTCATGCAGAAGAGCGGGGTGTGCCCGAGATCCTCAGTGTCTAAGAAGCCCTAGGTCCTACCAACCTCCTCTTTCCTCTTAGGTAATCAAGCTTTGAGGAATTAAAATCATTACAGAAAGGATCTGAAATACTGAGAAAAAAAAAACATGCACATTCAGTCATAGTTGGGGAAATTTTATTAAGGATAAATCAGCTACACACAATTTGGAATAACATTTAATCACGAAAAGGAGCAAACCAGGTAAAATATTTCCCAGGACAATTTCCACAAAAATCACATCACAGAGTCAAGAAAATCTCATCTCCAGAGAAAACACTGTCACTCTTTGCAGAGCACCCTTTGCAGGTGGGGCCATTATCCAGCATCTCCCAATTCAGATATTTGTAAACCAAATACAGGTTTAGGTCCTAGGTTAAATTTACATTTGAGTTTACCATTTATCAGCATCATTTCACTCAATTTCATAGCGAATGTCTTTAAATAAAGCAAGCTTGACATCCCAGGTGGGTAAGTACCTTTTGAAATGTCACATCTATTTACATGATGAGTGTTTGTGTGTGTGTGAGTGTGTGCTTGGTTTGCATGTGCACGCTCCCCAAAAGCAGGACACCCAACATGATGTGGACTCCACCGTTTCCATCCAATGCAGCTGAGGAAGTGCCAATTCCACACACCAGCCCAGGACTGTGACTTATCCTCCATTCAACAGACACCTCCTTGGGATCCCCTGGGCTGGAGGACAAGTCTCTGAGGCCATGGGCTGTCTCACTCTCTCCCACTGTCTTCAGAGGACGAGGACACCTGCAGGTCCTCATGGAGGACACTCACAGGGACGTGACCAAAGAATCCCTCGGATTTCTGAATGACAGGAGGGCCCTCACCAGGAGGGGCTGACTTCTCAGCAGGATGGAGCAAGGGAGGTGTTAGGAACCTGGAGCTCCAGCAGGCTTTGTCCAATCTCGTGAAGACCATTCTCAGGGGCTTGCCAGGGGTGGGCTTAGAAAGCGGACGTGGGGCTTCTATGCATGCCTGGACCGTTTCCAGGAGAGGTTGGGGGCAGGCAGGCTGCAGGTCGATGACTCGCACTGGGGCAGGTGTCTTCCTGGTCAGTGGGGGTGCTGCTGGGGGTCCATATGCACTTCTCCTTGCTGGAGGACACAGACTCTCTGAAGCCCCCAGATGGCTTTCCTGTATGCTCTTGTGGTGGTGCTGGAAGGGGCTCCAGCGTGCTTTCTTTCGGGGGTTCAGGCCCGTTTCTAGAGAGATCTGAACACCTCTCTTGCCTGCTGTCTTGAGGTGGTTTTGGGAAGTCTGAACCATACCGTGGCTTGCATTAGGTCGTGCATTCTGCTCAGGACCCTTGGCTGGTGCCTGGCCATGCTGCACGCCATCCACCTTGGACACAGCTCGGGAAACTTCAAGGGAGTCTTCTCGGGGCCTCTTTGCTGTCAGATGGACAACCAGGCCACTCTCCCTGGCACAGGGTTGGCATGCCAGGAGTCTGTCAGGGGACACCACTCGCTGTACCTCATGTCGTGCACCAGGGGGGAAGACGCTCCCTGAAGGGCTTCTGGGAGGAGCCGCTGAGTGGTACCCGGCTCTCGTGTCAGCGGTTTGGGTAGGCGGCTCCCATGGGAGGGGAGCCTCCAGGACAGACGCCCTCTTGGTGGTATAGACGGGCATCGGCGTGTGTGGACGCTGTGAGAAAAGGAACACACAGAAATGCACATTAGTTTTCCCTCACCACCAAGGCAACATTGCCATGAAGGAAAACCAAGAAAGTCACAAAAGCCCAAGACCTTCGTATGTTCAGTTCAGCAGTGGAAGACAGGAATGGGTTCTGTCTACATAGGAGGTGGGACCACAGCTCAGGGGGGTCAGGAATAAATACGTGACAGGATCTCCTGGATACCCTTTTTCTATCGGGGAGGAACAGAGAAAGCTTCTGCAAAAACATCTACGGTTCCCCCAGCAAACCATCCACTGGGCTCCGGAGAGCATAGGAATCCTGCCGCTGTGGAGTCACTTCAGAGGCTACTGAGTTTTGATGGACAATGTAGGAGAACGTGTCCCAAAGCAAAGTTCCCTGTTCTTCCATCGAGGGTTCTACATGTGAGAAGAGTGTCCTCCAGTGCTTTCCTTCCCACCCAGCCCACTGTGCACACACATCCCAGGAATAAGGCACCATGATGGACAGCAAGGGAAAATGGGGGAGGAGGATGCCCCCCCTGAACTCACACAGCTCAGAACGGAAGTTGGGTCAATCCTCACCCAGAAAGGCAACAAAGCCCATCAGGGTCCACCAGGCAGAACAGGAGCCAGGAAGCAGGGGACACTCACCCTCACGTAGCTGCAGGATTCTGTGCAATCCTTCCAGGTTTGCTTCTGCCCCCCTTGGGGTCGCCTGGGGAATCTCTGGAGCAGGGCCTCCCTCTGCCAGGCTTCTTGCCTGCACAACAAAGCATAGGAAGTGGAAGGAACTCAGTTTCAAGTCTTCAAACTGGGACACCAGCCTGAGGCCTCAGACAGCAGCGTCCTTTCCCTCCCCTGCCATTCTTCCCCCTACTCCAGGGAGCCCTCCAGGTTTGCCTAGGAACTACTAGCATTTGGGGTCTCTGGCAGGTCTGCTTGGCAATAGCCAGGTTCCCATATGTCCCCTGGTAAGGGGACACCCACCCCACCACTCACACACTCTCGCCGATTCAGCAAGGGCAGCCCAGTAGCCTGAGTGTGGACCCTGGAGGATGGAGAGCTCCTTTGTCGGCCTCCCCACCCCTGTCTGTGAGTGAGGACAGCACAGCACAGTTTCCAGGGGCAGAGACACAGTGTCCTTAGACGTCAGCCCTGGGATTGGGGACAGCAGCGAGCCCCGCTCCTCACCTTGGTCCCTCTCCCTTCTTCCTCTCAGCCTGCTTCAAGGGCCCAGGGTTCTCCTGGTCCTGCTGACTCCGTGGTTCTACGTTCTCCTTCAGCTTCCTGGAGCCCAAAGCCTGGAGGTCGAGGGCCCTGCCCCAGTGCTTCATGGGGCACCTGCTGCTGGATGCCTTGTGCCCAAAAGCTCCACAGTCCCTGCACTTCACCTGGGGAGGAAGAAAGAAGGATCAGTGGTTTTGGACAGGGGACATCACCTCGGCTTGTGAGGTGCCAGCCTCCTGAAGACCATGGGAAGCTTCCCCGGCCTCTCCAGGAGGGACATGGAGGAGGGATCGCAAGGGTCAGGCTGAACTGAAGGAGCCCTCTGAAGAGACGTGGACAAACACCAGCCTGGACCGGAGCCTGTACACTCCTGAGGTAGACCCTCGCTGTGTCTGAATGCCCCACTATGTCTGGTGATGAGATTCCAGGGCAGGTGGTCCTGGCCCAGGAAAGGAAACTGAGTTATGGACACAGAGCTCTCCATGTACCACGCCTGTCTCCAGAGTCATGGCAGACCACCTGCTCACAGCACATTCCGGCCTCCACTTACCCTGGGATCCTCCTCCTCTGGCCCAGGAGCCCTGGGTGCTAAGGGCGCCCTCGGTGGCCTCTTCCCTTTCTGGGCTTTCAAGGGTCTGTAGGGCTCAAGCTGGGTGTGACTGCCAGCCATCTGTCCTACTTCCTTGAGGGACTTGGCAGTTGGCCAGCCTGCCTCAGGGATGGGTGTCTGGATTTCCTGAGTCAAAAAAAAAAAAAAAAAAGGAGAGTTGTATTCACACAGATGCAAGCCTCTTTCCTGTCCCTTCTTCTCCAAGTAGGTATGAGGGGGCCTCAGGACCACCAGATCAAACATAGTTGTCACCCTGTCACCTCTCATCCCTTCCTGTCCTCCATACTCTCCTGCCTACCCACCCCCAGGATGGTGCCCTTAGGAAAAGCAGGTGAAGTTGCCTTGAATGACTTACCAGAGAGGTGCTTGTGAATTCTCTCACAATGCACTCTGGAAACAAAACCAGGGACAGGACTGCCCCCGATTTACACAAGAATCAAAGCCATGTCAAACTCCATGGGACACTCAGAGTTGAAAATGGAAAAGCAGGTATCCTTTCCTCTCCAAACTCTCCATTTCCCCACTGACACCTGAGGAAGCCATTTTCAACTATAAGATCCCTTGGAAAAACATCACTTCTCTTGAGGGAATGAGGGAAGTGGCCCATCTAAGGGTCTGAACTCTTTGATTTCATGTTTTCTTTTCAGTGCCCCATTCTTAACTCTCATCTAATCCTTGGGAAATGAATAGCTTTTAACTTTATGTGAACCAGGGATTTTTTTTCATTTTTAATGTTTTCTTTATTAAGAGAGAGAGAGAGAGAAAGCTCGAGGTGGGGGAAGGGCAGAGGGAAAAGCAGACTACCTGATGAGCAGGGAGCCCAATGAGGGGCTCCATCCCAGGACCCTGGAATCATGACCTGAGACAAAGTCAGACAACCAACTCAGCCAGCCAGGTGCCCTGAACCTGTGACTTCTTTAGGCTCCCAGTCCCACAGCGAAATTGGACCAGGATTCTGTCACAACACCTCCATGACCCCACTCCAATCAGACTGTTGGGGTCAGTTCCTTTGGAAGTGGAACCTCAGGGAGTCGAGAGCATTGGCAGTCATGCCTTTGATCAGTCTCTCTTCTCAGAATATGGTTTCACAGAAGCCAGTCTTTAGCTCGTTGAGAAAGGCACATCACCCCATAATTTCCTCACTGTCCTATTTCTCTAGCTGCTAAGATAAGGGCCCAGTGGTCCAAAAACCCACCTGAAATGCAATGGTGCTCCTCAGGTCTCTCAGTAGAGGCTCAGGAAGGTACTGGACAGACTCTACTGGAGGAGACTGTGTGTCTGGCATGCCAAAGGAATGGTCAGAAAGGGCCACTTCCTTCCCTCCCTGACTTTCCTATAGCCCTGAGGTCAAGTGACCTTTCAGACACTTAACACCCATCAGTTGAATCCTCTTTCTTGTTAACAGGGCAGACCCAATCCACAATGCCTTCTTGTGGAGCATTTTCATGAGCGGGAAAATCTTATCATACACGTATCATCTTTTCAGTATACTTCTTTGCTCTAAGAAAATTACACATTGGAGGCTATGACTGCTTCATTTTGTTTTGTTTTGTTTTGTTTTGTTTTGAATGCGAGAGAGAGAAAGAGAGAGAGAGAGAGAGAGCAGGGGCCAGGTGGGAAGGGATTAAGGGCAGGGAGAGAGGGAGAGAGAGAATCTGTAAGCAGAACCCCCCCTGATAGTGGAGCCCAGTGTGGGGCTGGATCCCAGAACCCTGAGATCAAGACGTGATCTGAAATGAAGTGTCAGCCACTTAAGTGAATGAGCCACATAGGTGCCCCTGTCCTCCCTAGGAGGACATTCTTCAATGAGAAAGGAGGATAGAAGGCTGGATTCCTATCACCTGGGCCTTTCTGACTGAAATCCAAGAGAGCATCTTTCTTCCAAAACAGTCCAACAAGTACCACCACCACTAGCCCAAGAGGAGGGCCTCCATTTCCAATCCTATTGGCCCTCTGGGTAGTTTCCCACTCTAAGTGTTGGGGCCCACTTGGCCTAAGAGACTCCATATTGGTTGAGCGGCCATTTTGTTCTTCACCAAAGAAAAATTAATGACTCAGAGTTCCCGGAACATCAACAAACGGAACTAGAGTTCCCGAAACATCAATAAGCGGCACTCAACTAAAACTCAACCTCCCTAACTACCAAAGAATGTAAACCCTGCCCTTTGGATACCAAACTTGGGCGCCAATGCTGACGAGAATGCTAGACTAGTTCAAAGAGCTACTATAGGGTAAATTGTAATTCAATTGGCCACCTGCGTGTGGCCTAACATGACTACGCAACCTTCTGTGTGTGTTATAATCTCCTTGACCACCTGTGCTCTATTAAAGTTAGTCTGTGAAGCTGGGAAGAGGTCGCTGTCTCTGTAAGAGACGGCCCTGACCGGTCGGTTTGATTCTCGATGCTTGGTGCAAAATAAAACTCTGCTTAACTTTCACTTTGTATCAGTCTTGCTCCTTTGATCACGGATCCCATCTCTAAGATTGGTGTGTCTTGCACAGAGAATGGATCTTGAATGGACCTTTCTAAGGCCATGGTCCAGTCCCAGCCTGGTACCTTCCAGTCCTACTAGAGCTTCCTCCAGCCTCCTCCTGGCCACACCCAGTCTCATGGGACCCCTGCCACTGCCCCACCTGTATGCTTTTCTTCATCCTTACCCTGCCCCACCCATACTCACATGCCTTCCATATCCTTTCATGCTCCAACTGGCCTCAACTCATACCCAGTGGCACCCCAATGAACACACAAGAATCCATGCTATGGCAATATGACATGGGGTACACAGAGTTGAAAATGGGAAAGAACTTATGCTTTCCTCTCAAAATCTGAGTTTCCCATTTGACGCACCAGGAAGCCATTTTCAACTACAAAGTCATTTTACAAAGCCTACTTTCTCCTCTACTAGATTGGAAGCTGCCCATCTGGGTTTCTGTAATCTCTTCTTGAGAGACACAGCGAGAGAGGGAACACAAGCAGAGAGAGAGGGAGAAGAAGACAGCCTGATGCAAGGCTCGATCCCAGAACCCTGAGTTCGTGACCTGAGCCAACGGCAGAAGCTTAACAACTGAGCCACCCAGGCGCCCCTGTAATCTCTTCTTTAATGTTCTCTTCTCAGAGTCCCTTTCTTAACTAACTTCTAATCCATTGGAAATGAGGATCTTTCCACATCTTGGGAACAAGTTCCTTCTTTAGGCTTTCAGTGCCCACAGCCAAATGGAACAGGATTTTGTCACAGCACTTCCATGATCCCACACCCATCAGACTGTGGGGCAAATTTCCCTTAGAATTACAACCTCAGGGAGTCACGAGGACTGCTTTTGACCAGTCTCTCTTCTCAGAAAATGCTTTCCAATGAAAGTGTGCTTAACCCAATGAGGTAAGCTACATCCCTCCATAATTTCCTCCCTGTCTTATTTCTCTGACAGTTGAACTGAGGACCCAGTTGTCCCAAAACCCACCTGAAATGCAGCGGTGCTCCTCCTGTCTCTCAGTAGAGGCTTAAAAGTTTGCAGAGGGACTCTGCTGGAGGAGCCTCTGTGTCCAGCGTGCCCGAGGAATGGTCAGAAAGGGCCACTTCCCTCCCTCCCTGACTTTTCTACTGGCCCAACGTCACGTGACCTTTCAGGCACTTGACACCCACCAATCCAATCCTCTTTCCTGTCAGTAGGCGGGACCCAGTGAAGTATCCCTTCTTGTCCAGCATTTTCATGCATTATATACCATATGTATGTGTGGATATGCTTTTCAGAATACATACATTTTATACAAATAACAAAGCTTTGAATGCATGCCTGTTTCTTTTCTTCTCTGTTAGGGCCGATTTAATGTTAAAACCTATTTAACTTTGCTTAGCCAGAGCTTAGCTGGCTTAACTTTGCTTAGCCAGAGTGACTCCATATTGCCTAGGTAGCTATATTGTTGTTTACATCCACGGACTTCATTCCGGGAATAAACAGCCCAGCAGTTCCTGGTATGGGTTCCGTATCGATTCTGGGAATCGATTCCGGGAATAAATGCCCTAACAATAGAAGCCACATACCTTGAGATCTGCGGTTATGCCCTCTAAAACTAGCTTGTAAGATCGGGGCGGGGTCGCTCTCTTCTGAGGCGGCCCTGACCGGTCAGTCTGATTTCTGATGCCTGGTGTGAAAATAAAGCTTTGCTTAACCTTCGCTTTGTATCAGTCTCGTTCTGTTGATCAGGGACCCCATCTTTTTTTTTTCTTTTTTTTTCTTCTCTTTTTTTTTTTTTTTTTTTTTTTTAGAGCCAGAGAGAGAGAGAGTAAAAATGAAAGCACGGGTTGGGGGAGGAGGGACAGAGGCAGAGAGAAAATCTTAGATAGGCTCTAGGTCCAGTGCAACTCCAGATCAGGGCTTGATCATGTCCTGAGCTGAAATCAAGAGTCCAGTGCTTAAGGGACTGATCACCCACATGCCCCTGGATGCCTGTTTCTCCTCAACTAGAATTTCCTGTTCAGATCCTATGAGGCATCTTTTCTCCTGGCATCAAGTACATTCACGCTGTTGTGGACCCATCAGTGTCCTCCATGTCCAAGCGTCTCACTTTCCCAACTGAATCTCTGGATCCAGGACACATTTCCAGGGTCCCTTCACTGTACCTGCCACCCTCCCACTTCTCCTTTCTGTCCTTAGGATTTTGCCTGCGCTTGGATATTCAGAGCACTGGCATCCTTTGCTACATGTCTTTTTGGAACTGGCTTCTTTGGCCATTTGTGTTGGGACCCAAATCGTGGGTGCTGGCCAGTCCCCATGTGGACCCGTGTAGCTCTAAGTCTTTTTATCTCCTCCTTTTTGATTCTTTTTTTTAAATTTTTTAATTTTTTTATAAACATATAATGTATTATTAGCCCCAGGGATAAAGGTCTGTGAATCGCCAGGTTTACACACTTCACAGCACTCACCATAGCACATACCCTCCCCAATGCCCATAACCCCACCACCCTGGCCTGATCACCCCTCCCCCCAGGAACCCTCAGTTTGTTTTGTGAGATTAGGAGTCTCTTATGGTTTGTCTCCCTCCTGATCCCATCTTGTTTCAT